TCCAACTACAAATTTTAATTAACTTACTTAGTTGCCAACGCCGATGATGTCTTAATTTAATTCATTTGTGGTGAGCAAGATCAAGGAAGAAGCTGTAAAGAAGCTAGGCCGATCAGCTGAGTAATGTGGTCTTAAGGTGAACACAAAAAAACAGAACTCTCTTTACAACCTGGGAGTAGTATTACCGTGGTATTCAGCGTTTTCCTTATGGACTTAACAGAAGTAAAAAAGCTAGAAAAATTACTTCATTAGCGGTTACACATGACCCGAAATAAAATTACACAATCCTTTCCTTTTCCCGTCGAGAGCCGACTTAGGCGGGGAACTTGATACCTACACCTGGACACATCAGATGATAGCTTCCACATGGAAGGCATTTTTCTGAAGACCTGGCATTAAGAACAATTCATCAGAAGTATTCACTTTATTTGACGAAGTAGTGGTTTACGCCACCGTCCAGGCGAAGCGGATTAAGCTGATTAGATCTCACCTTCAACCAAAACTATATACAGGGGAATCTTTCTCAACAATCTTTCGAAATCGGATCATAGGTGCCGCATGCTAGTAGCAGCGCCTACAACGATTTCTGTAGAAGCTGCAGGAACGAAAACGATAGACGAAACAGTGGAATACCTTCTTTGCAGATTTCCACCTTTAGTTAGGTGCACCAACTCAGGTGGTTGGCTTTGACATAGCCATACGAGGTTTATAATATATACATATGTATATACGGGAGTAGGTGCTCGAAGGTTTACCAATTAAAAATCTTATAGTTTTGTGAATTTAAATTTTTTTTTTGTATTAACAAATATCAGTTTTAAGAAAATATGGTATTTTGCCCCAGTGACGGCGAAGAGCAATCTTCATGGAGTTGATTCTCTTAAAATTTTTAGCTGATACTTTGGCCTTGAGAATGGACCATATGGATAAATACACTGGGTTTGAAGTGCGGTGAATATGGTGGCCAATGTTGCGAAGAAATGAAGCTGGGAAATTTTTTCTAAAACAATTTGGATTACGCCAACTTTATGCGATCTGATTGAAACGTCGAAAGATTTCTACCAAATGGTTTTCGAGTGCCAAGGTAACAGAGCATCGTTTAAAATCTGTTGACGGAAGATTTGTTGATTTACCTTTATTTCCCATAAAATAAGAAAATACCGCTAGACCACATTCGTGCAGTATGTGAAGCACTAACGGACAGACTCGATGCTATTATCCGCGCTAAAGAACAGTATACATTTTTCTTAAACTTTGATTAACTGGTTCTTATTATGAACTGATATTTTTTAATAAAAAAGCAACATAGACAAAATTATAGCCCTTCGAGTGCTACTAATCAGCGCTCAAGATACCTGATTAAGGCGACCTTGGCCTATGTGCTGTTGAGCTCGGGATGGTTCCTCTATTAGAGAACAGTGCAAACGTTCACAGAAGACATACTATGATGGCTACTCCATAAACTACCCTTCATATCAGTGATTCTGTTTAGCTACTTAAGATTACTATTTATTGCCAATTATATAAAAAAAAATGTTAGAGCGAAATTACAGCTTATAATAAGGAGATGAAGTCTGTATAAATACTCTTATTTCAACAATCTGAAATAAAAGTTTCTACGGTACTAGTAAACTTTATTTAAGATTTGAGAGATGTATAAGGATTAAAATAGAATATATGAAAAGGGAAAAATAATATAATTAATTTAATTTCACACCCTTCCTCTTCAGCAGACGATTTTTTTGGAGCCCCTCGTATGTATGTGCATGTCACGAGTACTTGCTTGCGTACAAAAAATACACACGTATATTACATAGATGTACCCTGCAGGGAAAGCTACTAGTTGTGAACTAGAATTCTACCAGTTTGCGTTTCAGCCCAACTAGTTCACGTTCTACCCTTTTTCAGTGTTAGCGACTGGTATTTTTAACATTGCGATGTCCTACGAGATGTCAATTGTCAGGCTATGCATCAGCATCTACTAGTAGAAATACTAGTAGCATCATACCAGTTGATGAGATAGTCTGCCAATTCATCCTCTATGAAAAGCATTAGTATGTCTTTTTGCTCGCGTCTCTCCAACAGTCGCAATGGCCGACAGAGCAAAGCACTCGCGTGGTATGCCTGAGGTACCAGGTTCAAGCCCTGGTGCAGGGAAATTTTTTTTTTATATATTTTTTTTCTTAGATTTAATAAACAAAAAAAATTTTTTTGTTATATATTTTTTTATGGCACAAGTATTTCTTCCCATATATTTGTTTTTTTTTTTTTTTTGTAATGCAACTAGATTTTTAAGTTTGTTATTTATATTTAAATTCAAATAATTATTCCTACTTACATTAATCTAACTTTAAAAATCTTAACCACCTCCAAGCGGCCTCGAACCTGCGATCCCAGAACCAGAACCAGTAGTCTTCACGTGACGCCACAGCCGACATTTGTAAGAAAAGCAATTAATTGCGTTTTATTTTAGGCTTTGGCAATTCAAAGGCAGATGTCGCTGAACGCTTAAGTTCTTCGAAAATGTCGAACTGGTAGGCACATACTAGTTTATAAACTAGTATTTTTTCTAACTGGTTTGGGTTTTCACTGCAGGGTATGTACATAAGTGTAGTGAAATTGCCACCAACAACTCTTAAAATGCTACTTTCTAAAAACAGCCCACCCAAACTACAACAACATATAGTTATACCATTCTATTCGAATCACTCAGACTACTCAGCTATCGCTATCGCTCTCACTCTCACCTCAAACACTCACTCCTTCGGGAACTTTCACCAATCACACTCGCTATTCTTCGCTCATACTCGCATTTTTATACTCCTCTCGACTAGTAGACTACCCTACTCCAATAAACTGGCCTAGACCACCCATCCACCCAACCAGGCGAGCGGATTAATTTGTGAAGCGTAGTAGTATTATGGGACTGCGCCTACATATGTATGTACGTAACCAGCCAGCCATCTGTACTATTACTCAAACTCTCTTATTCTGGCGCCACCCAAACTCTCAATTACTCTTACTTTCCGCGCACACTCACATCCAATGATGGCGGAAATTTAACTCAACACATTTTACCGAGTTATTTCCTCTTGGTATTTACTTTGTTCATTCGTATCTAGGCTAAACACTCGCATCTTCATGCACTCACTTTCTCTGCATTTCTCACTTTCTCTGCACCACTACACCACTCACTTGCTCAATCACTCTTTTTGGATGCGTGAGGCGAGTATGATACCCTCTTGAGTGTGAGAGTTTGCGCGCTTTCTGTATTTATTTACCTCCTTGGGGACGTTGATGTACGAGTAGTGAGAAATGAGTAGAAGAGTGTCCAAGTTTTTTACTCGTATGAGTTAGTTGGTGAAAGTGAAGTGAAAAGTGAAATCCTGCTGTTATGCATGCCATTCAAATGGAGTTGGTTTTGTTGGCTTCTGCCCTCTGACTGCTGTTGGTTTTGCTTTTGCTGCTCTACTATGCCACAGACGATGACTCTGTTCTATAACTGGAGTAGCGTTTCCATTACCAAAATAGCAGAAAGAGTGACGTACTCGTACTCGTTTGTATTCGTACCCGTACCCGTAATCGATGATTTTACGTTGCATACTTAATGCAGTTGGCTGACTGCTTCTCTTGTTGACCATTATTTCTTGGATATTTGTTTGTTTGGTACTACTTTTAATGGTTTATATTTGCCTTTCTTTGCATATATTTATGTAAGAATTTACTTGTTAGATTGGAATGCATACAAATGTGGGTATGTGACTCCTTCAGATATTTATTTGATTTTACCCATATCCATTGCTTTTGAGCTTTGTTGTTGGCATGTTTTATTTTATTCCAAGACTGCATTCAGTACTTTGCATTTGGTTTTGTTTTGTTTTTTCATTTCCTGTTTTTGGTTCTTCTTCTTCTTTTTTGACTACACAGTTCATTTAATCTCCATAATTTTTCGTGCGCGTGTCTCTTTTTTTCTTGATTGTGGCACATTTTCTTGCTGATTCTACATTTGCGACACATGCTGTGTTTTCTTTGATTAATTGTTGTCTTTTACATCCCTTTTGTGTTTTTATGTAGGCAGCACATTTTGAGCTGGGTAATTTCAACCACTTTTCAGAAGAACATGCATACATACTTTTAAGGGAAAGAATCTTGGAGGAATTTATATTTCACACGGATTTTATTTAAGCTGTCTAAATAGTTGAATGGGAGCGTCGATCTTAAGGGGAAGGAAGAATTTGAAGTTGGTTTTTGGGATGGGAGTAAAGTGGCATCGATTCTTTTTATTTCAAGGACATACATACACTGAGAAAAGAGTTTAGTGACAACAACTAAATAGGTGGGTCACAGTACGTGACTTGGTTTACTTAGTTACATAATTTTGTACCAGTCGCCAATTCCTGTGTTGAAAAAAATATATTTAGCTAACTCTATTCTGAGTATATGTACCTATGTAAATTTTTGTTCGAAAAGATTTTAGTTTAAGGCGACAAACCCCTAGGAATGGGCGTGGCAGTTTTAGGCCTAAAAATAAAAAAAATAAAATTTTGTTCTGAACTTCAGCAGAATATCCCTTCGTTAACAACATTTCTTTCGCAACTCTTATAAGATCAAAAAA